GGCAGCAACACATGCCATGAATGTCCAGAAAGTATCACATGTCTTACCAATATTTATGGTCTTTTTTTGCAAAATTAAATCTACAAGTTACTGATGGGGTAATGAGCATCCAAGCCGTCTCCGCTATTTCAGTCTCTGCACACTTTTCCGGGACTAAGGTGTCTAGCTTATCAAGCGCTCGGCACTTAGGCCCGTGAGCCTCCATGGTCCCCGTCAATTAAGATGGGTTTTCATGTCGGCGGTGTTCGGGTCTCGGGGAGAGTCTAGAATCTTTTTTGGGGAAACTCTGCCAGGGACTTCAAAACATTTGAGAGGGTTCCACTGGTTTGTTTCAAAAAAGGCTGAGACTCTGCTCCTGAAGCAGAGAGAAATGAAGCATGCTGAATTAACAGCAGAGAAAAGGGGGGGGGGTGAGGTTCGCGCTACACCTGAAACTCAGGAAGAAGCCTGAGCCTACGCGAACCCCCCAACTTCGACTGTGGTTTTTTTATTCTCTCAAACTCCGGGCTTAATCCCACCAGCATCTAGTTGTTCTAAAATACAAAGTGTGACCCGTAGGTCCTCCTCCGAGTACGCCTTGATGTACAGTTTATAACATGACGATTTCCAGCGGCCTAGCTTACAAATAGTGCCGATGTCAATTTCGAGTGCATTGCGTAGCGACGCCCCTCCTACTCTGAAAGAATGGCCGGTTAGGTCTGATAAACCCATACCTCGCCAAGCGCCTTGGAGACGACGCGTGCAGTATCCTTTCGTGAGGTTGGTTCTGCCAGTCTCTCTGGTTACGCCGAAAAGTGAGTCGGTAGGAGTCCCCCCAGTGATACGGTTGATCAGAGCCTTCACTGGGCACAGCTTGTTGTTTGTTCTGGTGAGGAACAGTCGTTGGGTTTCACATCCGTTGGCCGTTTTTGCAAACCGCAAGGTGATGATGGCTGACCTCGCATCGCGCGCAATCCTGACGTCTGATATCAGAGGGCCTTCGTCCTTCTTTAGGTCCCCATGATTTGACGCGCACGTTAACTCGCCAAGTCTTGCCATACCCCAGAATGCGACGAGCGCCATATCGAGCAGTGCCCTGCCTAAAGCATCGGATTTTGACAGGTGCTCGTGAAGGAGTAGCAGATGTTCTACCATTACTGGTCGTTTCGTTTGTTGCCGTGTTACGAGGGCATCTGCTCTTAGTGACGCCTTTATCATGAGAGCTACCTTCCTATCAGATTGGTGGGGGTATTGCACCCCGTGGTAGGTATGCCAGGCTTTGATGCCATGGAGGTATTTCGTGAGAGTTGCTCCGGACACCTCGTTTGGGTTCGTATCTTCTTTGTTCCGCCCAGCCCAATAGCAGAAACCAATGATCTCCTCCTGTAATGCTGGTAGCTCAAACCGTCGTTCTAATTTTTCTTTTGCAAATTTGAGGAATTTTCTAACCGCTGAGTTGTAGCTACGGAGGGTACTTCCTCTCCAACCGTTCAGGACATGTCTGTCTATTTTTGAAGGTGATTTCAAAGAGAAACCGGTGGAAGTGAAATCTTTCATTGTAGTAATAGATATCTGACTAGAAAAGTTGAAAAGACAAGGCGAGTAGAAGAAGAATAATTGTTGCGAGGGGAGTAAGCACAAAACGAGCCTGTGAAGGACTTCCAGCACACGTCATATACTATTTATGTTAAATTATAAAAACGACTTGTGAGAGGATCGTTTGTAAGTCTACAGGGATTTCTATGACAACTTGGTATTTTACTGACTGGCCCGACCTAATGCCACGGGATAAGGCGTCGGCCCTGTTGTCTTTAGACGTAACTCGCCTAGCCAACAACTCTATCCCCTTCGAGACCAGGATAGTCTGGATTTTCATCCATTCAGAATTCGTTTCACGATCCCTGGACTTCTTGTTATTGATTCCGTTCTCAGTTGTGGTATTGTCTGTCCAGACAACCAGCGTCTTTCCTTGTTGGTCTCTTAGTTTAAGCAACATGAGTAAACCCAACCTAATAGCAACCGTTTCCAGGTAGGAGATTCGTAGTCCACTCAATTTCGGGTTATGCAATTTAAACTGTGCCCAGTGTTTTCCGATTAGTATCCCTATACCGAACAAAGTCGAGGCATCACCTACCCATCCTACATCAACCGGTGGGCCATAATTTATTATTCTTGTGTGTTCGAAGTTATTGAGAGTTTCTGTCCAGATCGTCAGGTCTTCGAGTACATCCGATGGTGTTGGTCTAAATGCTTTGCGAAATTTCCAGGACATCAGCCACCGATATAGGGAACATAAATGACACCTCAAGTGGGGTAATATGTATGCGACGTGATTGAGTCGTCCGACTAGAATCTCTGCATCGTTGTAATCGAACATCGCCTTATCTTCTAGAAACGGTTTTATTTGATTCAAGCGAGTTTCCACCTTCCCGTCTGGAAGCCTTACTGTCTTCTCAACTCCATTCCATATAAACCCGATAAATTTTTGTTCGTCTTGAAAAGGAGAATATTTTGTTTTGTTTGTTAAGACTCCTAAGTGGTGTGATTTTTCGACGACATCTTCCATTGATATATCTTCTCCTTGTAGCCTGACAAACAGATTATCATCTACCCATCTAAAAATGTTTAATAGCTTGAAATGTGATTTCATTATGAGTTTCCAGGCGTCGGCGGGTCTCCCGAATGAGCCACATCCTGCTACTCCTCCGAAGGTAATTCTTGTATCGACTAAGAAATTTCCATTGAAATCTTTTACCATAAGATAACGCCATTGCTCTTTCCGTGTGGGAATTTGTCTGTATGCCTTCTCCCAATCAAAAAGAGCCAGTTCCATTTTCCGATTGTCTTTCGCGAAGAATTCTGATACAATTTGAAAGTCGTCCCACGTCGTCTCGAATTCTGACTTGTCTACAAAGGAGTTAACTGAGGTGATTTCTGGGTCGTTCCTAGGAAAAGAGAGATCGTTGATTGGTCGAATCGCTCCATCTCCGTTTACGACTGCACCTAGCGGGTTTGATCTACAGAAGCCAAACTTTTCTATAACTTTCTCCAAGCTAAAAGGACCAAACATTCTTTTTGCCCCTAGTTCTTTGCTAATTGAGTCTTCCACCTTGCTCTTGACTTTTTCTGAGGAGCTATGATTATCTGGTGTGTAATGCGTAAGTGTACCGACTCTGTGCTGAGGAATTCCTTGATCGAAGCCAATCCGAAATCCTTCTATTACATCCTGGTACTCTGGTAACAAACTATGTTCGATTAATGCCTCTTCCCATGCTTCAATGTTCATCTCACAGGTCACTTCTGTTGGCCACGGTGCCTCTTTTAATTCCAAAACTTTTGAATCATTGTGGATGAAATTTCTACTTAACAAGTTCACGTTACAATAGGCCCAAAATGCCGTGAGGAGAATACAGCAAAGAGCAAGACAATCCGAAGATCGAAATTGAGAAAAAACACGAAAGAAGAGGTAAAACAAGCCAAGTCTCAGGAAAATTGTTTCTTTATCTATATAGATATTTAAATCATATATAAATCCCTTTTTTTTTTTTTTTTTTTGGAATTTCTTAAATTACAATTCAATCAGGAAATATGCCTACGACATGTCTTTTTCTTTGCCTTTTGGCGTGTCCATTTTGCCGGCTCCTTTGAATGACCGATCTCTACCAAAATTAGATCTTTCTTTGGAGTAGCCCCCGCGGGTCGACGATGATTCGAATCTCCCGTGTGGGTTATCATCGCTAGGGTGGACTTCTCTTTGTCTTTTCATGCCCCCACCGTACTCGTACCCGTAAGATTCATCGCGGTACGTGCCGTAATCTGAGTTTCGACGGTCTTGCTGGAATCTGTCCGAACCTCGTCCTTGTCTAAACCCGCCTCTACCTTTAGGGGGGTATCGATTATCCCCTCCATGGGTCATGTCTTCCAAGTTCTTCCCTTTGGGGACTCTCGGCTTGCCGGTCTGCGGGTCGAAATTGAATTTGGGTCCTCCTAGCGCATAGGGGTTATCAGAATAGTCTAGTTCTTCTAGGTTTCTGGTGACCTTCCAAGCTTCCCTTTTTACTTCCTTCCTAAAGATCGATATATCTACTGCCGATGTCCCTTGATCCATTTCTACTTGGTATGAGAAGGCGTTTTGTCGGACAATCAAGTCGTAGCGGAAACCGTCTTCGGCGATTATTCGGTCGACGTTAGACTTGTGTTCTAGGATCCAATCTGCAAATTCAGGGTAGTTGTACATGTCCCTGAAAGTGACGTGGAAGTTTCTGTGGTTGGCGGTCCACTTTGCGAAGGATTGCGTCCACTCGTTAGGGTACTCAAAACCGGTATAATTACCGTCTTTCTCATCTCCTTTGGAGCGTTTGTTCGTGTGGAATTGGATGGCATCCTCTTGCCACCTCTTGTCGAAGATAGTCAAAGGAATTGGGCCACGTAGCTCTTTGATGTTCTTGTCGAAGTAAGGTGTGAAGCCGACATCGAAGTGTTTGGAAGAGATCCTCTTACGAAAATAATCGAAGTCTTGTCAGTTGACTTTTTCGATGAGCTCGACGTGGCTATGGGATTTATCGCGTTGCTGGTCTTTGATCTGAGTACGGTTGGTTTATCCGCGGCGTTGGAATCTCCTAATTGTGAGTACAGTCGGATGAAGAAATCTGCGTTTTCTTTGTCGTTCGCTGCGACCGCTTCTGCTATCTTGTCCCACAAGATTAATCTGTCCGACTTGGGTGTTGGTACGGACAAGAGCGTTTGGGTTACTGTTGAAGTTGGATGGTCGTCCGCCTGGATCTCTGTTTGAGATGAAAGGGTAACGACTAGGTCGTCTACCGCGGCCGTGTCTGGTACGTGTGAGAGCAAGTCTTTATACTTCTCTTTTGGACCTTCTGGTTCCGTTAAATCTAAAAATACACATAACATGTGTTTCGTAAGTGTGGATGTTGGGTACTCTCATCAACTTAGAGGTATCTTTAATCACCTTTGAAGGTTTCACTTTCTTCGCTCTCTGTATCGATTACTTCTTCGTTGGGGCCTCTGGTTTGGGTTGAGCTGTCTTCCATTACTGCGGCTGGAATGAGAACAGCGAGTCCATTTAGCTACCATCAACTCAGG